TTCAAGCAATCCTCCCGCCTCAGCCTCCCAAGTAGCTGGGACTACAGGCACGTGCCACCATCCTCTGCTAAACTTTTTTGTTTGTTTGTTTGTATTTATAGTAGAGATGGGTTTCGCCATGTTGCCCAGGCTGATGTCGAACTCCTGAGCTCGAGCGATCTTTCCGCCTTGGCCTCCCAAAGTGCTGGGATTACAGGCGTGAGCCACCATGCCCAGTTCAGAAAGATGAATGATTTAACTAAACACACAGATGTAGAGACTGGTGCACAAAAAGGTAAACATACTTGATCAAGGTCAAGGATTCGTCCATTTAAATCACAGTTCTCAACTGTTTTTGGATTATGAATTCTTTCAGGATTCAACTAAAGTTTGGATCCACTCTCCAGAAAAATTTGGACATTAAAAAATTTGCATATGTCTTAGTCAGTTCTGGCTACTATAACAGAGTTCCATAAACCTGGTAGCCTATAAACAACAAAAATTTATTTCTCATAGTTCTGGAGGCTGGGAGCCCAAGATAAGAGTAACAGCATGGTTGGGTTCTGGTGAGGGCCCTCTTCAGGTTTCAGACAGCCAACTTCTCATTGCATCCTCACATGGCAGAAAGAGGACTAGGGAGTTCCCTGGGGTCTCTTTTATAAGGGCAGTAATCCCATTTATGAGGGCTCACCCTCATGACCTAATGACCTTCCAAAGGCTCCACCTCCTAGTACCATCACATGGGGGGTTAGGATTTCAACATATGAATTTTGAGGGGACAGAAACATTCCATCTATAACACCATAGAATGCCCATTCATGAATCCCACATCTGTGAACCTCTGGGCTAAATATAGGATAAATCCAGACAATGGATAAAGTGGTTAAAATGATGAACTCCATCTTCTATGTTTTGAAGTAGAAATTCAGCCCCATTACTGAAAGGGTTTAAGGAGTAGACCATAGAGTAGGAACATATAAGTAGTATAATACTATTTTTATTAAAGTAAATATTTATATTGTGCATATATAGCAAAAAAAATTTTATTGAGTACTTGTTAGGTACCATTTTTCTAAGTTATTTAATCTATATATTGTATGTTTTAATGAATGAACTTTTTTCTTTCTTTTTTAAATTTCAATAATTTGGGGGGAACAGGTGGTGTTTGGTTGCATAGAAATGTTCTTTAGCGGTGATTTCTGATATTTTGGTGTACCCATCTCCTGAGCAGCGTACACTGTACCCACTGTGTAGTCTTTTATCACTCACTCCCCTCCTACCCTTACCCCTCAGTCCCCAGAGTCCATTATATCATTCTTATGCCTTTGTGTCCCCATAGCTTAGCTCCTACTTATAAAAGAGAATATACAATGTTTGGTTTTCCATTCTTGAGTTATTCAATTCACTTAGTTATTCTATTCACTTAGAAAAATAGTCTTCAACTCTATACAGGTTGCTGCAAATGCCATTATTTCATTCCCTTTTGTGGCTAAGTAGTATTCCACATTAATCTGTATAACTTAATCCCCACAACAACCCTAAGTTAGACACTATTATTATAACCAGTTTGCAAATGAGGAAATGACACACACACACACAAACACACACACACACACTCAAACTGGAAGCCACAAGGTTAGGAATCATATCCAGCATCTGGGACAGGGCAAGGGAGACTCTGAAGGTGATACATAAAGATGTGTTGATTTAATGAATGAGCCAAATGTTAACAGTAGTTTTTTGTTGTTTTTTTTTTCAATGAGAGGTAGAGGGATAAGGCAACCCTTTTATTGTCTACTTGCGTTTTCTACTTTTTTTTTTTTGTTTTTTTTTTAGATGGAGTTTGCACTCTGTTGCCCAGGCTGGAGTGCAGGTGGCACCATCTCAGCGTCACTGTGACCTCCATCTCCTGGGTTCAAGCGATTCTTCTGTGTCAGCCTCCCAAGTAGCTGGGACTACAGGTGCACACCACCATGCCTGGCTAATTTTTGTAATTTTTAGTAGAGACAGGGTTTTCGCCATGATGGCCAGGTTGGTCTCAAACTCCTAATCTCAAGTGATCCACTTCTCTCAGCCTCCGAAAGTGTGCTGGATTACAGGGTGTGAGCCCTGTGCCAGCCTCTTGAATTTTTTTTTTTTTTTTTTTTTTGAGACGAGTTTTGCTCCTTTTGGCCCAGCCTGGAGTGCAATGGCATGATCTTGTGGCTCACTGCAACCTCTGCCTCCTGGGTTCAAGTGATTCTCCTGCCTCGCCTCCCAAGTAGGTGGGATTACAGGTGCCCACCACCATGCCTGGCTGATTTTTGTAATTTTAGTAGAGATGGGGTTTCACCACATTGACCAGGCTGGTCTTGAACTCCAGACCTCAGGTGATCCCCCTGCCTCAGCCTCCCGAAGTGCTGGGATTACAGGCATGCCCCACCGTGCCCTGACCTACTTGAGTTTTTATGATGAGCATGTTGGCAGATCACAGTTAGTGTTCAACAAATATCCATGTGCTTCTCTATGTTTCCCATCCTCTATGCTTCTAGGTGTGTTCATGGGACTAATTGTCACCAATGGAATGTTTGTGGAAATAATGCGTCTCCTTCAGTCGGAGGCAGTTAAGAGACAAGAGACGGGTGGATCACGAGGTCAGGAGATCGAGACCATCCTGGCTAACACAGTGAAACCCCGTCTCTACTAAAAATACAAAAAAAATGAGCCGGGCGTGGTGGTGGCGCCTGTAGTCCCAGCTACTCAGGAGGCTGAGGCAGGAGAATGGCGTGAACCCGGGAGGCGGAGCTTGCAGTGAGCCGAGATCGCGCCACTGCACTCCAGCCTGGGCGACAGAGCGAGACTCCGTCTCAAAAAAAAAAAAATAGTGAAATAAATGAAGAATCACATGAGTGAAGTCCTCTGGGTACCTGAGTATGGGCGAAACTGGAAAACAGTGATGGAGTTTTCCATAGCAGCATCCTAAGAAGACACCCTTGAGTGGGTGAGAACTCATTTTGAGGACATCAGCAAACACAGCTTAAGAGGAGTTTAAAAGGTGGTATCACCTGGGCTTGCTTTCTCAGGTACTCTTTTAAAAGGATGTAATTCATAGCTGTCCCAGGAAGACTCACCAGGAACACTGTTAATAACTGCCTTAGAAGCATTTTGTGATCTATCATTTAGGATATTTGTTTAGTTGCTCTAATAGGCACCAAGTAACAATGGGTTAAACAAGATGGTCTGTCTTTCAAATAAAAGTCCAGCTGGTAGGCAGCCCAGGAAAGGTGGGCTGCTCTGCTTCATGTGATGGTCTGAGGACCCTTACGCCTTCTGTTTTGTTGCTTTGCCATCCTCCGGGGTGTTGTCCTATCCACATGATTGAGTTGAATGCCCACCATCATGTCTGCATTGCAGCCTCAAGAAAGAGAAAAGAAGAAAGGGAAAGCATGCAACTTTCTTTTAAGGATGTGACCTAGAAGTGACATACATCACTTAGGCTCACATGTGCCATTGGTGGGAACTTAGTCATATGGCCACTGCTAGTTGCAAGTGAGGCTGGGATATGTCATCTCTAGATGGACAGTCATGTACCTCCCAAAAACTTGGGGGTTACTATTACCAAAAGGAAGAAAGAAAATATGAATGGGTGGGGATTGACAGTCTCTCATCAGTAGGAAAGCATCATGACTGATGCTGAGAAACTCTTTGCCCAAGTCTTTATGGCCTATATATGTAACTCCATATTACTGACAATGTGCATCACAGGGTGTGGTAGGTGGCTTCTAAAATGGTCCCAAATGATTCCTGTCTCCTGGTACTCAAGCCCTGGTGTAATCCCTTTTTCTTGAATGACTTCCTTCAAGTTAATAGAATGTTGATAGGCTGCCACTTCTATGATTAGATTATTAAAGATGTACCTCCATTTTCCTGGCAGACTTTATTGCCTTTGCAGCTTGCAAGCTTTGATGAAGCAGCCATGTTGGGGAGGCCCATATGGCAAGAAACCAAAGTCAGTTTCCAGACAATAGCCAGCAAAGAACTGAAGTCCTCAGTCCAATAACCTACAAAGAACTGAATCCTACCAATAACCACTTGAGTTTGGAAATGGATCCCTTACCAATCGAGGCTTCAAATTAGACCCCAGCCTTGGTTGACACCTTCAGTGTAGCCTTATGAAAGACCCTGAAGCAGATAAAGCAACTAAACTGTGCCTGGACTTCTGATGCACAGAACTTGCGAGATAATAAATGTATGTTGTTTGAAGCCTCTAAGTTGGTGGAAATTTGTTGCAACAAAAAATAACTAATACATAGGGGTCTTTATTAAGACTGCTGCTCTGGGTCTAACTGTCTTAGGAGCACCATACCTGTTCCTTCTGAGGCATGGCCCTTCCACATCTCCAGATCCATCAGTCCTCCACACAACACACACCCACACCACTACCACCTCTTCTCCATCTGAGACACTCTCCTTCTCTCTTCAGCTGTGGCTTCTTCCACCTCCTGCCTTGTGGTTTTTGCTTTTTTTTTTTTTGGCCTTTGAATGGTCACTCAACATACTCTTCTAAGTTAGTTTAGATTATGATAATAGCCAGGAAGGTAGTGGTAGGGGAATGTCTTTAAAAGCTGGAGAAATGAGACTTGGTGAATGCAAAGGAATGACTGTTAGGCATTGGGAAGTTGAGATTGCCTCAGAGAAGCCATCAGACCCAGGATTCTGGGAGAGATAGAGATAGACAGTTAGCAGCTTCCTAGAACCACCACCATATCCCCACTCAAACAGCTCAAGGAAGAAAGGCATTCTGGTCTTTAATCTGAACCCACCTCTTATAGATGCCAATGGGAAGAGACACTACCAGTTAAAACTATGCCTTGTTTACCATACTGACCATACTTGTAGTACCTTATATTCACAACAAAATACTTATTGAGTATATAGTATGTACCAGGCACTATATTAGGCTCTGGTATGTGGTAGTGAATAGCCTCTGCTCTCCTGGTGTTCCTAAATATTCCCTGCCAACTTTCTGTATTTCTTACTAGACTGCTAGCTCCATGAGGACAAGAACTTTGTATGACTTTTTCATGATGGATGTTCATCTGTGCCAGCTGTAAATATTTAACAAATACTTGTGGAATACACGAATCCAAAAGTGAGTGGAATGGTAAAGAGGTAAGACATCAGGTGAGGGAGTACGATTTTACAACACGGTGACTTTACTAGAATGCAAACTCTACGAGGGCTGGACCTTGATAAGTATTGGTTGCTTCATCTGTACAATAAAGAGGTTTGATTTGGTGAACTCTGAAATCATTTTGGTTATAAACCTCAATGACTCTTTGATTCTGAACTGTCACAGAAAGATATGAGCCTAGAATAAAATATCTAGAACATATATAACTCAATTTTTGTGACTTCGGTTCAGAATTTAATTAATTTTAGTTGGGAATTTAGCAAACCCAAGCGATCATTTAGTGTCTTTATTCTTATATTTTGACAGGGAAAGGATCATGACATCTACTACAGCATTTGGCACAGACCCAGGTAAATAAGATAAAGCTTCTAAGTCACTTCTCCTCTTCGAATCATGGAATGTATTGTGTCAGACCTCAACAATCAGCTGTGGACTTTTTAAAAAGGAAAATTAGATATGGATTTATTACCTGAGCATTTGCCATTGTCAAAATGTGTAGATGTTACCCCATTCACTAGTTTTCTCTCGTAAGGAAGCATTTCTCTAATGGTGATCTTCCACCCACCTGTCTTAGAGTCACTGGGGTGATGGTTATAATGAAACCAGCTTCCTCACCCCTAGATCAAATGAATTAGCAGTTCTAGGGATGTAGCTCAGGATCCTCCATTTAAATAAGCATCTAAAGTAATTTTCATGCATGTAAAAATCTGAAAGCCACCATTCCTATTTCTTTGGCAACTTCAGACCAAAGCTTCTCTCCATACTTCTTCTCTGAGTCTTCTCTCAGTCTCTATGCTCCTCAACCATCTCTCCCTTTGCTAGGCTGCTGGATTCCTATTGAATGTGCTTACTTGTTTTCTTTTTTTTTTCTTTTTCTTTTTTATTTTTTTTGAGACGGAGTCTCGCTCTGTCGCCCAGGCTGGAGTGCAGTGGCCGGATCTCAGCTCACTGCAAGCTCCGCCTCCCGGGTTTACGCCATTCTCCTGGCTCAGCCTCCCGAGTAGCTGGGACTACAGGCGCCCGCCACCACGCCCAGCTAGTTTTTTTGTATTTTTTTTAGTAGAGACGGGGTTTCACCGTGTTAGCCAGGATGGTCTCGATCTCCTGACCTCGTCATCCGCCCGTCTTGGCCTCCCAAAGTGCTGGGATTACAGGCTTGAGCCACCGCGCCCGGCCGAATGTGCTTACTTGTTAATGCACATGGATAATGATGGTTTCGTTGGATCTGGCATGCTGTCTGTTTTCTCCTCTGTTAAATGAGAGGGTCAGAGTTGCTGATTTTTGTTTTTTTAGACAGAGTCTCCCTCTGTCACCCAGTCTGGAGTGCAGTGGCCTGATCTTGGCTCACTGCAACCTCTGCCTCCCCAGTTCAAGTGATTCTCCTGCCTCCCGATTAGCTGGGATTATAGGCGCCTGCCACCACGCCCAGCTAATTTTTGTATTTTTAGTAAAGATGGGGTTTCACCATGTTGGCCATGGTTGGCCAGGCTTGTCTTGAACTCCTGACCTCAGGTGATCTACCCACCTCAGCCTCCCAAAGTGCTAGGATTACAGGTGTGAGCCACTGTGCCCAGCCTCAGAGTCAGTGATTTTTAAGTCTCCAACCCAACATGCTAAATTCTGTAAGTTGTGGCTGGGAAGATTTATCTCATCGTTGAGAGCTCCCTTGATCTCTCAGGGAGTGGGGACACCTTGGGAATATGCTACAGTCAGCATCATCCTACCTTCTTGTTATTGTTCACTGGAGGCCTCCTAAAGGACCCCAAACAATGATGATTGGATAATTTAGACTTGGGGGCAGAGTGAGGAGCCCATTCTCTGAAAAAAAAAAAAAAATCATAGAATCATAGAGGTATTTTCATTTATGTTACAGGCTTCCCTGGTACTGGCAATTCCCAGCAGCTTTTTATAATCCCAAAGGTCAGAAATAAACTGCCAAAAAAATTTTACTAAATCATGTTCTGGTCTGGGATACAGCCCTGAAATACACTTTGAGCAAGAAAGACTTTGTAGAGGAGAAAAAAGGTGGACCAATGAGGAATGGGCTAGAACCAGAGGAAAGTGAACAGTCTTGGTTTAAATATCCACAATGTTCTAAGTTTTTCATGTGTACTACAGAGAAGCTCCAGGCTTCTACACTTCCTTGTGGGTAGTTTCAAAAAGCTATTGTAGCAAAACAGAGGCTGGTGGTGACTATGCTTATCTTTTAGAAGAGCCATCATTGCATTTCTGCAGCACAGAATAGATATGTGTTTTTTACTCTTAGTGGTGGAGTTTATATATGACTCATGATGTTTGGTTATTAATCATCTAATGACACTAAATACTGCTTAGTTAGCTGAGTTTTCCCTTTAGGAAACCAGATATTGCTAAAGTCACTGTTCGACTTAATGGGGAAAGTTCCACTAACATATAAAATGTATGATTTATAATTCAAAATGTAAATCCTCTATTGGTATTACATACTATAAAAAGGATAATTGTCTACATAATTACATAACATGCATGTAAGGATCAATATTTAATTAAGACTATTGCTGTATTCTCATTGGGAGTTAGAGCCCAATATTCTCAATTGGGTGAGAATTTCAGCCAAATGGTCTATCCATTTTCTTTTTTTTTCTTTTTGAGACGGATCTTGCTTTGTCACCCAGGCTGGAGTGCAATGGTGCGATCTTGGCTCACTGCAACCTCCGCCTCCTGGGTTCAAGCAATTCTCCTGTCTCAGCCTCCGGAATAGCTGGAATTACAGGCGCATGCCACCATACCCCACTGATTTTTGTATTTTTAGTAGAGGTGGGGTTTCACCATGTTGGCTAGGCTGGTGTTGAACTCCTGACCTGAGGTGATCTGCCTGCCTTGGCCTCCCAAAGTGCTGGGATTACAGGCGTGAGCCACTGTGCCCAGCCAGTCTATCCATTTTCTATTTTCCCAAAGTAACTTGTGAAAAATGTCTTAGGCTAGAATTTGCTTACATATTTTCCATCTTGCACATGGTTAAAATGTGCGGTTTCCTAAACCAGTGGTTCTCGACCATCAGCATGCATTAGAATCACCTGGAGGGCTGGTTAAAACACAGATTCCCAGGGTTTGTGATTTAGTAAGTCTGGCGGTTGGACCCGAGAATCTGCATTTCTAACCAGTGATCCCAAGTGATGCTGATGCTGCAGGTCTGGGGACCACACTGTCTTGAACTAACACCTCTGAATTGGATTCTGATAAGATTCTGAATTCCACAGATGCAGTTTGGAGATTGTTTTTCAAAGCAGAATATCCATTTGTGGAATAAAACAGTTGATCATTGTTATTACCTGAAGTAATTTCTCTTTCCTTTGTGTTTTTAGAGGAGTTTTGTTGGTCGCTTTTATCAGGCATTAGGCCTTGTATTACATTCAATTGTGCCTATGTTTTATCTCCTTTGTGACTGTGAGCTCTTTGAAGGACTGTGTTCATCTTTAAATCCTCATTGTACCTTACATCTTGTAGACTTCAAATCATTGTTTGGCAAATTGAATTTAGTTATGTATACATGTTTTGTGCCTAGTTTCCTACATGTAATAATTATTTTTGAGACGGATCTTGCTTTGTCACCCAGGCTGGAGTGCAATGGTGCGATCTTGGCTCACTGCAACCTCCGCCTCCTGGGTTCAAGCGATTCTCCTGCCTCAGCCTCCCAAGTAGCTGGGATTATAGGCATGTACCACTGTGCCCAGCTAAAATAAGATTTATTCAGACTTTTTGGCTTACAGATGTTAGATCTGAGGCATTTCAGCTTTGGAACAGACCATAAGAATAATTCAAGTCCAAAGGTCCTTAAAGTCCACCACATCTCCTCTACAGCCTACTCATACTCACCTTTAGTTAAAAAAAAACGAAAAACACAAAACACAAAATTCCAAAAACCTGGGGTGAGGGAGGCACCTTCCTTCCTGGGGTCCATTCCAAATTTGAGAAGGTGCTCGAACCTTGCCTTTCTACTTCTACTCAATGACCCTATTTCAACCCCTTTTGATATCCTGTTTAGATAGGATATTCCCCACGTCTGTTATTCCCCATTTGGTTCCCCTGTCCTTATTCCTAGATCTCCCTGCTCCAGAAGCAAGGGGGCAGCCACAGCCCCACAGCCTCTAGCTGCTGGCTGCTCAGGGCACACAGGCTTGCTATTGACAAGTCTGAATCATGACTGACGAAGGGAGTGCTTTCTCTCTAGAAAACAATTTGGCAACTTTCTACTTCAAACCCAGGCTCACTACAGAATTTCTTACCATGATGACTTTCCTGGCAGTTGTCTGCAGTACTATCAAGAGACAACATGGACTTCAACGATCAAAAAGGGGAGAAAAAGGCTTAAAAGAAAAACAAGTCTCCATCAAAAGTAATAACCACAATGAGAAATATACATAGCTATGTGCTTATAGGTCTTAGTTCACATTCCCCCTTATTAAAATTATAGCTCAAGAAATAAAGGGCTATGTTTAATGACTTAGGTATATAAATATACTTCATTTGTATATTTTTTACTTACTAAAATCAAACAAGTATTACCTCAAACCATAATCTTCTATTATATTTTATAATTTTACTTTCAATTGCCATGTATTTTTCCTACTGATGTTCATAAATTCACAGGAAACATCAGCAATGTACTAAATAAAATATGAATTGAATCAACAAATAGAACTATAAATTTAATTCATGCACTTGTAAAATTTACACCAAAGAATACAAATGTCTATTAAAAATACAGTCAAGCATGGTGGCTCACACCTGTAATCCCGGCACTTTGGGAGACCGAGGTGGGTGAATCATCTGAGGTCAGGAGTTCGAGACCAGCCTGGCCAATGTGGTGAAACTCCATCTCTATTAAAATACAAAAATTAGGGCTGGGCGTGGTGGCTCACACCTGTAATCCCAGCACTTTGGGAGGCCGAGGTGGGCAGATCACAAGGTCAGGAAATCGAGACCATACTGGCTAAGACAGTGAAACCCTGTCTCTACTAAAAATACAAAAAATTAGTCCAGTGTGGTGGTGGGCGCCTGTAGTCCCAGCTACTCGGAAGGCTGAGGCAGGAGAATGGCGTGAACCCCGGAGGTGGAGCTTGCGGTGAGCAGACACAGCACCACTGCACTTCAGCCTGGGTGGCAGAGCGAGACTCTGTCTCAAAAAAAAAAAAAAAAAAAAAATTAGCTGGGTGTGATGGCGGGCACCTGTAATCCCACTACTTGGGAGGCTGAGGCAGGAGAATCACTTGAATCCAGGAGGCAGAAGTTGCAGTGAGCCAAGATCGTGCCACTGCACTCCAGCCTGGGTGACAAGGTGAGACTCTGTTTCAAACAACAGCAACAACAACAAAAAACCGAAACAATAGATTTAAAATACTACAGTTTAGAATCCTGTTGAGTTCTGCATTATTGGGAGCAAAATAAAATCATGGACATAAATACTTTGAGAAAAGCAAGAGAGACACATGACACAAAATGAAAGTTTCCATGCTAGAGATGGACATGAATATATAGAGACATGTGACATCCACAAGTCAGAATGGAAAAGAAATCAAGACATAGAATTTATAAGAATAAAACTCACATAGAGATAAGAGAAATGAGCTTTCATGGTATCTGATGTAGACTTTTAGGAAGTTGCCACCAAATATTTTTAAAATTAGGACACATTTTCCAACCATAAGCATAAATGAGTTAGCCTTGATATTTGCCTCATGAATTGGGTAAAATTAAGCTGAGGGCCAGATGTTTTCCATCTGTGTTTTAGATTATGCTAAACATAAAATGATTAGAAAGCACCCATATATGACTGGTTTAACTATATGAAAAAATCAGATGACATGAAGACACTGCCTTAGACTTTAGAAAATTTTAGTGTATTTTGATGTCAGAAT